CCTGTTTACTGAGTATTTTCTTATGACTGAGTTTTATCACCATGCTTACAGCATTGTAAAGTCTTCTGACAAGACTTTTAAGTAATATTCAGGAAAAAAAAACACAAAGAGAAAAAACAATATGCAACAGCAAGGGAAATATGTTTGTGTTCAGGGTAAGTCTAGTAGATCAAACAGCATTTTCAATCCAAAGCATGCAGCCAAACACACAACATTTATACCATTGCAGAAGACTCTACATAAATACAGGCTGTGTGGGATCATTTTCTTCCTCTCTTTTCTGTTCCACCAGTAGAATACTGCCCTATCCTTGCTCTGAGAGTTGGGAACATAATGTGCCCTGTATTCCTTGTCACAGAGCAAATGCTTGAGGCTGAAGATGTTTGCATATCACTGTTATGGGCTGAACAACCATGATTCTGTGTCAGAGTGGAAAATAATAGCACATGACGTAAGCTTCAGTAAATCATTTTTGTCCTAAGTGCACTCATAACCAACTTACAGACTTCTAAAATGCCTGGTTTTACTTTTTGTTCCAGCAGTCCAAAGGGCACAGAATAATAATGAAGAAGAGCTGGGTTTTATTAATAATATTTTAAACTTTTCTGTTAACATCCTGTTCATGAATAGACTGACATTTCCTTGCACTCCAGAATTGTTTACAAAATAAGTTTCAAAAAATATCCTGGTCCCTGCCTCACTACAGCTGGTACATTGTGAATGCCTAATGTTGATCAAAGTCCTTCAGGTGGGATAACTGAAGTGATGCTTTGCTGAATGTTACGTCTTGCTTCAAATGCCTTTTGTGAACCTGGAGGGTTATGAATATGAATATATCTTTCTTTTAGTATTAGACAAAAATCTGTATTCAGAAACCTTGGAAAACTTGGCTTGAAAAATGCCTGCAACTTGATCCCTGCAAAACCTTCTGTCTTTGTACAGCCAAGATACAGCAACAGTGAAACTGGAGCTAGTGGAGCTACTCTGATGATCTACATTAAAGTTATCATGTATGGAAAAAGTGTTTTTCTTATGGGGAAAAAAATGAATTATGAACAATTTGCCCAAAGTGAAATGCTGCTGCACCTCTTTGAAAGAGCAGACCATTCAGACTCTGGGTTATTCAAATAGTTGCTGCTGTGATTCTCTAGCAGGGCCCAAAATGAATCCCCAGGAAATGCAAAGGAGGGAACCCTTCTCCCAAAAGAAGTTTTCTGGATTTTATTGTAAAGGAGCATTTTCCCAGCCCTGGGTGAGAAATTCAGAGCTGTGTAAATAAGACAACTTGCAGTGAAAGAAGTGCACCTGGGTTTTTTTACAACTCATAGTGCTCCAGTCTGTTTAGTTAGAAATAGAGTTGATTTATGTGATATTATTAATCTATCCAGTAAGTTCTTCAGTCATTTCTGTTGCTGGCTGAATAAGGCTTCAAATCATCTGCTGTCCAATTTGATGAATAACAGCAATGTCTGAGCCTGTGGCTAATCCAGCATTAGTCATTTCTCTGCTCAGGTGTGGTATCAGTTTCTCAGTTCAGGGGTAGTTGTCTAAGGGGAGGTATTTTGGGAGAAGCAAGAGCCATGGATCAGTGCATGGATCCTTTTTATGGCTCAGCTCTGCAGAATACTGCAGGAGAACTGGTGTCTCTGGTATCAGGATCAAAGTCCACAGCAGCAAGTCATCCAAGCCCATGCAGAACCCTCTGTTTTCTCTACAAATTGGATAAATTCTGTTGGTCTCTTGATAGAAAGTGAGTTGAAATATTTGAAGATTCTTCATTGCATATAATATGCCTCCACAGGACTGGAAATGGATAATCTGGATTAGGAATCCAGGAGTGTGAGACTTTCCCCCTAAAGAGGAAGATGGGAGAAATAGTATTAGAAAAGATGTGTCTATTTTAATTTGTCTTTATTCCCAAACTGTGGATATGAAGAGCTTTTCCTGGCTCCCTCTGCTGGCTATGAAGCTGGTTCAGCTTCTTTTTTCTTTCCTTTTTTTTTTTTTTTTTTTTTTTTTTTTTTTCCATGACAGTATTATTTTTGCTGATTAAAATAGCTGTGGCAGCTTTGTGTCTATCTCAGCCTCCCTCCATCCCCCCATCCTGTCTTACATATTCTTCTCTGCTTAAATACACAATTGTTTTTATGACTAATTCCTTTTTCTCCCTGTAAGATTATTGTGTGATTCAAGTTTAAAAATGAATTGATCCTTTTAAAAAGCATCGATTACTCCAAGTACATAAACAAGGGTGACAAAAAGAGAAAAATGTGTGAAATTCATAAAATATTAAACAGTAATTTCCAGCATGACTTAACTTTTTGTTAATGCTGAATTTAAATAATGAAAGAAAATAATAACAGCAAAATTGCAGCAGCTGCCCCAAACATGAAATGTTTGCATTGTTTTTTGCAGTGCCTGTTTTCTAATCACCTGAGATTTGAAATGCTGCACCTGCTCTGTAGTACTTAAGCAACAGTTGTACTTTGGCCTGACACTGAATTTCCATCTCTAGAAAATTTAGGTATAAACTGATTAAATCTGACAGTTCTCCTGTAGAGCAGGTAGTAACTACCATCACAGATGGATCCCAGAGCATCCCCAACCCACAGAAGGGGACACTAATCTGTTAAGGTTTAGCAAAATATCAAGTCAAAGCAAAACCCAACACTTGCTCAGACATTCATTTTTCCCTATGAATTCCACATCTAGATGTAGTTTTCTACTTCACCTGTGCTGCATGCCCCAGCTGCCTCTACTCCCACCTGGAGTGAGGCCCAGGAAAAGTATCTTCTAATTATTAATGTCAAACTTCCCTTGTGAGAGTCCACTCCCCAGGGCTGGGCTCCTCCCTGTCTCTGCTTTTGGTGAAGACCTTTTTGTGGGAAACAAACTCCTGGGCTGAAGTTTTGTTGTGTGCCATTTTTAACGCTCCCTGGTGACTCAGTTCAAGTCCTGTGGGAATTCATAAACCACTTTGAGGGTTTTGAAAATGTTCTCTTGTACCTGTGAGGCTCCCTGTGTTCCCAGAGTTAATGGACAAATCTGTTAGCAGTAGGCAGAAAATTCTATTAAAATTCTTGTATGAGTCTTGCTGTTATAATATATGGATGCTGCAGAATCTTGAATGTTTCTACCCTTACAGCTTCCTGCTGAGATGATAATATTGCTTGGGTTAAAAGCTAAGTGGCTTTGTGTATGTACACACTCCAGTCAAATATATGATTGCTAATAATATGTGTAGGTGAATGGAAAAGAGTTTCAGATGTGATAATGCAGAGCATCACTTCGGTGAGAAATTCACGTTTGGTTTGGGATTCAATCTAGGTTGAAGATTCCACTATAGTCTGAAATTTAGGCTGCTGTTTTCTTAGTACGTTTTGGTTGTTTTTATCCTCATTAACAAGGGAATATAAACTCAACCTTGAGAGTGCTTCTTGAAAATTTTATATACAACACTTTTCTAGATGTAAAATTGAATTTTTTACTAATTGAAAATGTTAAGTTTTTCATAAAGTAAAAGAGCTGCTATGAAAACTATCAAAATATAGAAAATTAATGAAATATCTTGAGAGTCCTAATTTTTTTGGCAAAAGATCTACAGTGATTGGGGCAGAGAGAGAGAAGACAGCAAATTCTGAGATATTCCAACTTCTCTTCCACCAGCCATGAAAACTGATTTTGGATGTTGCTCTTTTTTGTGACTGGTGTCCAGGCAAAAAATCTTGAGATCTTGATCTGATCCTGTGGCTCTGGTGTGAGAGCTGGAGTGGTGTCAGCTGGGCACTGCAGCCCAAGCTCGCTCAGGAGAATTTTAGAAAAGTTCATGGTCATATTGAGACAGGCTTTGCCTGCTAAAAAAGAACTTGATTTCTAGATTTTCACCAAGAGGACAGTGCCATCAGACCTTAATAATCACTGTCCTTTCTAATTGACTGTAAACTTCTCTTACCTGACCTTCCACAAGAACAGATCACACAGTAGAGGACAGGAGTTTATACAGTAAAGTCGCATAAGTATTGAATAATTTCCCAAATTCACCTCTGTTTGCATACAAGGAATGATTTTAACACCTCGTTTGGAATTTGATAACAATTGATATTTATCATGCCATAAATCAGTTTTAAGAGATCAAAACAAAGTTAAATCAGTGCAGTAACAGAGCTGAATTGTTACTGCTGTACAGATGCTCGTGGTTTGGCCAGGTGTCCATCACCCCACCTGGCTGCCTTGGTCCCTTTCTATCAGGCATTTGCTGCACTGACTTTTGCTGGAAGAGCTCCTGTGTTTCCAGAGCCCAGGGTAATAGGATCCTGTCTGCTCAGGTAATGAAAAGCTGAAGCTTGATGCCAATTTACATTCACAACAGTCTGTTTGGATAAAACATCATAAGTGGTGTGCTTTTCATACAATATATTTCCTACAAAGCTCAATAAAGAGATATTTAACCTGCTCATATTTTACCAAGTGTTTCTAGTGCATCTTTCCCCTGACTCTGCTTACAGACTTTCAAACCCTTATCATTGCATTTTCTGTTTTAGCCAATGCAAGGAGCAGAGTCTGTCACTTGGTTGAAGATTTGTGTCTGATTCTTCACATTTTTTTGAACTTATCATATTAAGAGCATTTCTGATGGAAACAAGATGGCTGGTCAGGGTCAAGGGCAAAAATAGGCCACCTCTCAGAAAAGTGACTGTCTTTAGGGCTGTGTGTGTGAGATTTTTCCTTGTAATTAATTTTTATTCAGAAGGGAAATCTTTGAAATATTAAAACACAGTTCTTCTAGCTGCTGGGCTTTTTCTGCTTTTCATGGGTGCTGTGTGTGATAGAGCTGTCTTTTCACCAAGGCTTCTCATGTGACAGATGATATCTATGTATTGTCCTGCTGTTTAATGTGAAGCAAATGGGATGGCTTATCTAATGTGACAGGTACAGTCGTCTGTTGTCAAAGCTGTGACAGGACTGACCAGGATTATCTGGATGAGCGGTCATCATGATGCTGCAGCCTGGAAGGTGTGGGCCTCATGGATAAACTGCACTACAATGAGATCTAGGGCCACTGGAGTGGAAAAGATGAGGCAGGCTAGATGCTAATGTGATCTATAAAGACATCAGACACTGATGAGTGAAATTAGGATAAAGGTTTTGGGGGTGGAGGTAAGTAGTGGATGAGGTATGAAACACATACCTCTTGGAAAATCTGGTAGGCGCTATTTACAATAAAATAAGTTCATTTTTCTGCACTTAGGCAGATGTCTGTGCAGACTGCTGGTTTGCATTTTTTGGGACTCAGTGGAGGATTCTCCCAGTGCTCGGGCTAATAAGGTGCAGAGGCAAGTGTCTGAGCAGCCAACAGTATGAGATATTTTCACTAAATATAATTGCAAGCAAATGAGCCAAGCATGTCCATAGTTTAAAAGTTGCTTGATTATGTGGCTGCGCTGTCCAGTGTGAAATGAGAGTGACATTACTGTAGCATTAATAGAACATAAAATTTTGTGTTACAGCTGTGATTTTCACAGGGGCCTCTCAGTCCCACATTATGGACGTTCACTGGGGAATGATTTTTTCAAACTGTGATCTGTGTTTCAGCAATAGAAATGAGAAGAAGGAGCTGGACATGCTGCTGGACCTCCTGCAGAACAGCAGAACCTGCTGAAGAGCATCTGAGTGTGACAGCCCAGTAGACTGCAAGGCTTTAGCGGGTGTTTCACAGTGTTTTCTTCAACCTGCATCTTCCAAAGCCATACAGGTAAACAAACCCCAAAGCTCTCAGCTGCAGGAAAGCTCACAAGGTTCTTCTGTAGGAAAACTTGCAGTGTTCAAGGCATCAGGTGTCTGTCATGAGAGTGAAGCTGAACTGGCAGCCTGTCTCACACCTTCTCCAGTGGGTGGGACTGGCAGAACTGCTGGAATGCTGTGATTGGAAGGGTACATTTCAGTTTCTTTCCAAAGAGCATCTCCATATTGCAATGTGGAGACTTTTCATGGTTTGTAAACATGGGAAGAGCATGTTGAGTATTCAGAGAAGTGGTTTTTCTGCTTACCCTCACTGGCCTGAGAATTTATCTACATCACAGCCTACTTGGATTTTCTTGGGAAATGAAGACCTGAAAAGTAGCCTCAGTGCTTGCATCCTAGTGCTTCTGTCTCACTCTGAATGATCCAGCCTTGTCTTCAGTCACTTCCGTTTCTGTTTCAAGGCTGTGGGCACTGGGAAGTTGTGGGTTTCAGTCAGTGCCAGCTTGCTGTTTTGCTATTTAGTTAATTTTCCAATAAAACCAGTGTAATTATTAAATACAACTTCCTTATACCTTGATAACCAGAATGTTGTCCAACATGCTGTGATTATACACAGGAGCATCTGTGGGGTCTGGGAAGGAGAGATGAGATGCCTAGCTGCTATTTTTGGCACTGATGCTTGGTATTTCTTCCATTTGCAGACCCTCTGTGCCATTTTCTGATGACAAAACTGATCCCTGAGGGCACAATTGATATTAATGAGATGTAAATGGCAGATGAGGTGACAGATGACAGTGTCATCAACCAAAGAAATAAAGGACAGCATCATGAATAAGCACAAAACAGTAAGAAGACATAAATGACATGTATCTAGTATTGTTGAACAGTTTTTTTTAAAAGTAATGCATTGGAAAAAGAGATAATCAGAGCATGAAATATTAGCATGAAATGACTTTGACTACTGTAGTTCTTAGCAAACATTTTTTGGGGTATTTATTGTAGGAAACTGAGTTAGAGAAAGATTATTTATTTATTTACTTATTTAAGAGTGACAGTGACAGAGGATGTGTGACAATGGAAAGCAGGTATTATGCACTTGCTGTTTAGGAAAGAAAGGTTTGATGTTTTAATGGGTCACCACATGAATAAAAGAGGAGAACAAAAGATGATATTTAGCAAAGGTCATGAAAGCTTTAATCTGGAAGCCTAAGACATATGTCTTGGCATGTTAAATAATCTTGAAGATGAAATTTTCACAAGGACTCTGTCTTGATGTTTACAGACTGATTCATACCTGACCAGCCACTGACAATCCATCTAATTTTTTAATCACTAAAACATGTAAAAGCTGCTGTCTAACTCACTGGTGCCCTTAGGAGCCCAGATTTGAAGAATGGGCTGAGCTTATGAGGATTCCATATGGATAATTCATTTCTCCCCTCAATCTGGCCTAGATACTCCAGACACTTTGTCATAGTGTTTAAAAAGCAAGCAGAAACTTACCTTTGCCCCACACTTTATTTAAAATGTGCTGCTCTGCTTCACTGGGCCACAGGAGTCACTTCTCTGGGGTGACATGGAGCCTTTCCAGCTCAGCAGAACCTCTACAATAAGATCTCTGTATTTTTTCCCTTCTCTGTCTTCTGCTGTTCTATTCCCTCTCAGCTCGACTTTGGAGAGAGAACTTCCAATGAGCCATACAGGAAGTTAATGGTGTTGCTGCACATGACAAAATAGTGCTGTTATTATTAACAGGAATGGTATCAAGCTTATAACATGTTCTTCTATCAATTAGACAATTATCATTAAGTTCTGTGCACATGTTCTCTTAATTATTTCCTTAATTAATAATGACTGTCTTCAGTACCTCATTGATGCTTTTGTAATAGCTCCCAAAATTTAGAAGGTTAGCACACTTGACTGAATTTCTTTTCAGCTGAAACTTCTGTGTGGTGTAACCTAAAATGTGGCTTTTTTTTGGTTAATATATATATTTTTGGTTGTATATGATACCAAATAATTTTATGTTGCAAAAATATCTTGCAAAGTTGCAAATGGGGAGAGACTGAAACACTTGCTGTCATGTAAGTTTATGACTCAGCTTCATTAAGGCCCGGTGAAATTTGGACACCATTTGTGCCTCAATAGAAGGAAAAAATTCCTTGCTACTGGATTTAGCCAGGGAGCTGCAGTTCTGTTATTTCTCCAGGAATGGTATCAGTTGGATCCCCCTCCTCTTAAGTCACTGGCTTGAATCAGCTGGATCAACTTCTTTTGGTATAAGTGGGAGTTAGAGTGGGTTGGAGTTGCATAAATTACTACATGTGGCTGACAGCAGACTATAGAATTTGAATTCTTTTTGTTTTTTTTTTCTGCTAAAAACTAAAAAAATAAGATTGAAAAATACCATGCCATTAAAATTCAAATATTTTAGTGTCAGGAAAAATACAAGTCATGTCTTATTAATTCTTGGTCTGCTGCTTGTCAGGAGTCATTGTTCTTATTTGGCATTTGAAATTAAAACTTTATTACTTGCTCTCATAGGTCACACCAAGTATCTATTTGATTGGAAGACCCTAAACTTTTAGAGGCTTATTTCTGGTGTGAATGCTTAAATTAAAAATTCATAGTTCACTTTCCTCAGCTACTGTTCAGCATTCCCTTAAAATTCAGTGTTCCAGTGAGCAATCTTCATTTGATACAATATTCATGGATGGTAATCACAGAAGGTTGCAATGCAGTCAGAGCAGATTTGTTTGGAAGTTCAGTGGCATTTGTTTGGAGCCTTTGCTGAGTGCTTGTTCCTCACTCCTCATGCTCTGTGGTGAATTCCCCAGTTCTGTTCTTTGGCATGGGGAGTTTCCCCTGAGCTGCTTATGCTGGCATTAATGTGTTACTGAGCATCCCAAGAATCCTTCCTTTAAAACTGGGGGCTGGAGTGGTTTGGCTTTTCTTGTAGTGCCTGCAATAAAACCTGTTTGCTTTGGTTTGGTAGCACAGCGTTGCACTGATAATCTGATTTCTGATTCAGTCAATGGATCTGTCACTCTGTGGACAACAAAATTCCTTAATTTAGTTGTCATGGGTTGGATTAATTCAGCACGCTTTGGCAGTAGTGCTGGATTCAGGTGCATTTATCTAACTTGTGTGCTCTGGAAATATCTTCTGGCACAAGTGGGAAGAGAAGAGTACAGCAAAATACTGTGCCTTTTCCAAACAGCCTTTGGTCTTATGATTTGACAAAATTCATTTTGAGAGAGTTTTGTTGCAAGCCTACAGAATGAAATTGGCAAGTCATCCTCAGTTCCCTTAGGGTGATATCTTCAGTGATTTATGTAAAAGTCAGTGTAGCTGAATATGTGGAGGGATTATTTTTGACATTCCTGCCTTGGATAAATGATGCATTTTGAATGGCTGGATACACCAGTTCTCAGGTGGCACAGATTTTTCCCATGTAAAGAATAATGATAGTTAATACACATTTTCACAGTTAATTATTTTAAATGTATTTCTATTTGCTTTTCTAATCAGAAGCATCATTTTCTTGCATCTTGAATTTAAGTGATTTTGAGGAGTTTCAATCACAGGTGTTTAAAGAACTGCGTAGAGTTGAAATAAATGAATAAAATGGAAATATTTATTCTGTTCCCCTTTTTGTTCTGTAGGAACTCACCTGTTTCAAGTGCTGGGGTTACTGAGAGATTTGGTTGGGAAATTCTGGCAGGACATTCAGATACAGACCTGATAATTATCTAGAAATCAAAGTGTGCATGCCTAAAACTTCCTAAACCAAGACTGAACACAAGAGCATTTTCATCTCTAGATATGCTCCCCCCAGTAAAACTATTCATAGACATATTTATCTGAAGCCAATATTTACCCGTTTTCTGGTTCTATTTTTAAAAATTATTTGTTTCTTTTCTATTTCCTTTTGGAATATGCATGGACTCTCACCTCCCTCATCACAAGTGATTCAGCAGGACTCAGTGTTTTCACTGAACACTGATACATGTTCTACACACAGGCAACTAGAAACGCTCTCTGCTCTGCCTGCTTTGTTTTCAATTTATTGTAGAGCCCTTTTTTGCTGCCTTGCTCAGTAACTTAGCCCCGCCCCTGATTCCAGGAGCTCCTGTGCCCTAATCAGGTTGATTTCTTGATCCAGTTAATTTAGTGGAATTGCCAATAATGTCATTTAATTTGAGGCACCAGTACCATGTTGCTTTCCCTCTGACACTCTCGTTTACTTTTCTTCTCACCACCGTGTCATGAGTGGGATCTCCTAACTGAGGAGCAGCCAGCTCATCTCCTGCCCTAGTGAACATTCCAGAGAGCAAATTGGTTTTCTTTGACACCCACCTGCTACTCCACTCCTTCACTGTGGTTCCCTCATCATGGAAATGTCTGGTTAGATTTAATATGCAAATATACTCCATGAGTTCTGCTCTCAGTGGGGGAAATAGCCCTGCCAGGACTCTGAATAAAACAGGCTCTGAGTTGAATGGAGTCGCTGCTTTTAGGAAAAAGCATTGTAGAGTAGCACAGTATGGATGAGGTATAAATGAGTCATTTAAAACCATTCCTTGTCTCGTTTTTCTGTGAACCAAATGTGTTTCTGAGCTGAGAGAATAAATGTGACACAAATCTGGAAAGGAGACTCTGGATCATTGTGGCATTGCCTGGTTTCCCTAGTGTGGCAGACTGTTCATGGTATGGTTGCTTGACAGGAGTAAGTTCTTGGTTTGCCTACACACTTGAAACTGAGCCAAGTGACTTTCCTGTTTTCTTAACACATGATCAGAAAACATAACTCTTGTTACACTACATACCTAATTCCCATAATATTGTCAGTTGTGCCCTGACATAATGTGTAAAGACACAGAGGATCATTTCTTCGGTAGATGTAAGCGGGTGAGGATGAGAGGTATTCTGACAGCCAGGCACTGGCATTCCAGAGCTCTCTTCTCCACCCCTGAAACAGAAGAAGCTGTGCTTGTATGAATTCCTGGGTAGGTAATTTTTAGGAAAGGCAGAATTCTGGCTGAGACAGAGAAAGCATGTGAGGACACAACAGAGAGATTTCCAAGGAAATGCTTCTGGTGGAGTTGCATAATACCTATTTTTGGGAAAAAAAGAGTCATACTGTTTCTTGCACTTTCTCTTCAGTGGGGGCAGTTTTAGCTTTCCAGTATCAACTGCACAGACCACAGAGTAATGGATCAGCATTAGTGAGCCTGTCAGGGAAATGCAGGATACAAGCAGCATTTCCTAGATGGACTAAACCAGTTTACACAGTTAATAAGGTAAGGACAGGTCACAGAGTCTCCAGCTGTGGCTGTGCCATGCACAAATGACCAAGGAAAAGCTAAATGTGCTGTTCCACATGGCATGCCAGGGACACAGCTGAAGAGACAAAGTAGTCTGTTCACTTGTGGGCTGTTCTGTTGTCCCTTGGACCACCCTGTCTTTCCTTGTAAACAGGGGCTGCAGAAATTAATGTCTGGAAAATAGATGCTTCCCATGCTTGTGTCTGTAGAACTGTTTGCAAAACAAGTGGGTCTGAGCAGACATACACACTCTTACTCTTAAGAAAGAAACAGTTGAGGCTCATTCTGTTGGTAGATTATCTGAGGGGATTATCTCCCTGTGAGAAGCCTGGTTAGCAGTGAGGGCTGCAGCAGTGCCTTTGAGCTGTGTCAGGATGTGTGGATGTGCTGGCTGGGCAGCTTGATTGGGATATGTTGGCCTTTTGTGAGTACAAAGTCCTAAACCACTTAGTGTAACTAGTTTAAGTAGTGGCTAAAAGAAATAAATCTATTATATTACAGTGATTATTTGCTGATTTTTTTAAACACTGAGGTCCTGATATTCCCTTGCTTTGAAAGTTCAAGAAGGCACAGTGTGCATTTCTGACATTCTTTTCTAATTTTTAGAAAAGACTGTTGAAAATGATTGATATCTGGTGAGAACAGAAATATTAATGTGTTGATCAAGACAAGTTAAAACAGAGAAAGGCAAACGATAGCAGTGAGTCAGCCTTTCAGAGAAAATAACTAGTACAGACCTTTCGTCTGGGTGACACTATCACAACTCACTTGACTAGAAAAGTTCTGTACCAGAGGCCTTGTCTGAAGATGTCAGGAAGATAAAAATGCAAAATATAGTAGCCATACATACAGAGAAGGATCAAGGGAAGATTTAGGAAAAACAAAAAAGCTGCAAATCTAATTTCAGATGTGAGGAAATGTTAGACCCATAAATAAATTATAGCTATGGAGCATTTAGAACTGTAGAATTAATTGTAGTCTTAATAGAAGTCTGAGAGAAAGAGCCTGCTATGAAGGCATTACAGGGCTAATTAAGGCCAGTCTTGGAAGCACAACACTTAACAAAATAAAATTTTTGAATGACTTGGAAATGCTGGTGCAGAAAGCTTGCATGGAGTTATGCAACCACCTGTACAAGGGAAAGGTGGGTGCCAGGGGCACATTCCAATTTTTTTTTTCTGTGTTGAACATCTATCCTAAAATTGAGGCCTATTTCTGTGGAAATGTTAAGTTAATATTTGGTTTTCTGACATGTTTTCATATTCATATTTTTACTGTATCCTTTAGTCAGAATTGCTGTTCAGATTGGTCACTATGAAGCTGATGTGGATTTATGGTTTATATGAACAAACTGCAGTTGGAATATAACATCAAGTAGTTGGGGGATAAATTTAAAGGCTGCACTGTTTCAATCTGTCTGGAGTAGGGAGTAATAATTTTTTGAGTTAATTATTTTCTATGAGCAGGAGAAGAACTATTAAAATAGAAATTACACTAGATTTTGTGAACTGGGTAGCAGGGACTGTTTTTCCAAAATGTGAATTGAATTATTATAGTAGTGAGAAGTGTGATGTTACAAATGTAATTGATAGGCAATTTGTTAAGGATATAGTAGATTTGCTCAGTTCTTTCATCCTGCAAATACAATATGTTCTCGTGTAATTTTACTCAAGTGATCAATTTAAATTATAAGATTAGAAACAAATAGACATCTGCAGGCAGTATAGATGTGTCATACTCCCAAACCTGCCATCCAGGATGGGATGGTGGTAATAATGGTTGGTGTAATTATGATTCAGTTCTGCTTGTTTATTTGTGAGAGGTTAAGTGATCACAGACTGGCTGGAGTCTGGTGCAGTGGGTGAAGCAAGGAGAGATGTGGTCAGAATCATCAGTAAATTTAAAAATAGATCTTGGATCTACTTGAGCTTACTGAAGACAGTGTTAAGGCTGATGTAACTCAGTTGCTCTTAGCCAAGGTTGATAAACATCCTGTGTTCTTCTGAACCATTGTTGTGCCGCTGTGGCAAAGTGACATACAGAAAATGCTGCAGATTTTCTGTCTGCAGATAATTGGGACTGTGCCACAGTGCTTTTCCCTTTCATTTTGTTTGAGAGTCTAGAATCCCCAAGTCAGGAATATTAGAATATCTGGACAGCAGTTGCTGCCATTAGACGCGGTTGCTCACAGCAAAAACTAAAAATCAGCATAAAACCTTTTGGGTTCTAATTACAGGAGAACACTCCCTCTGAGACAGAGTTGCACATGCTGCCCTGCTCTGTGGGTTTCCCATTTTCTCAGCTAACATCTGTAAATAACTTTCAGCTTGTCCCTATTGATTCCCCAGCTGCTCTATCTCCCTTGTTGCTCGTGTCAGAGACAGATGAGTCTTGAGGGGAGCACGAGAAGGCTGCAACAGAACTCCTGCAAACTCCCACAGAGGTGGCAAGATGTTCCAGTTGGTCAACAGGAGGATCCTGCTGGTGCCCAGAGAGTCTGGAAGTTCATTGAGGTCATACAGGTTTTCTGCATATCCATCCTGAACAATTACACTTGAAGAAAGGAAAAACTAAGAGTTTACTGTGTGTTCAAAGGTAAATGATCTTCCTCTTCCTTTTTTTCATTGTGTTTCCTCTGCATATTTTTGCTTCCCACTCATTGAATTCAGCAGCAAAACTCAAGTTGGCTTAAGTGGAACAGAATCAGTTCCCATGCCAGGAGAAATTATAATGTAGTAATGATAATCTGACATTTAGTTTTTTGTGTAATGATAACATATTTTCAGGATTGTATTTTCCTGTGAGGTCTGTCTGGTGTTATAAAGCTCCTGTATGATGACATTTTCCCCTGTGGATGTGAGATTATTCACAGGCTGTGTATTTCACAGTGATATTATATTGGAGGGTCAGTAAACATTAGAACCTATTCCAATCTGAGCAATGGACAGCTGTTGGTTAAAAAAACATAACTTCCAGGTTTGTCCTCAGCTATTTGCAAGGTGGCAATTCCTCTGGAAACTGGATTACAAAACTGTGTGTTAAGACTTGGTCTGGCACCACAGATACCTGCTAGGTAGAGGAATGAAAATAATCTCTGAGAAAGGGAGCAGACACAGAGAGCTTTGCTGTGTTGGTAGGAGGAATGTTTTTAGCTGCAAGACCAGCTTGCCTAGAAAGACCAAAGCAAAGGAAAGGAGGGTTTTGAACCAGAGATCAAGGTACATTCAGGGGAGGTCAGGAAAGCCAAGGCAAAAGCAATGCTGGAGTCCCCTTGGGCCAAGCAGAACTCAGCTGTACCTATCAACATTGGCAGGTCCAGAGGCATCCTGTTGCATGGTTGCTGCACAGCTGGTGGGTCCATGCAGAGCGAATGCAACACGTCCCAGCTGGGGCAGCCCTGCTGCACATCTGCACACAGCCTCGGGAGCATGCAGGCAATGCAGTTAGTTATGCAGCAGCTCCTCTGCAGGTGTGATTCAGCATTTGTGTGAAGTGGCCATTTGCTCAGGATACCCAGACATCCAGCTTTTGGAAAATGTGTTCAGCCACTGGTCAGGGCAGCAGAGGCTCTCCTGCTGTAAGCAACAGACAAGAATCCACACTGGGAGAGCTGGCAGGTCTGCAGAATGTGTCTGGATCCAATGCAGCTGGGACTCAGACACAGTTGTGAGTGAGCTCTACCAGGAAGATACAACAATTGAACTACTCCCAAACCTGCACAGAATAACAAGATTGGCTTCTCAACGCCTAGGCCTGTTGGGAAGGGAAGAAGAAAGGACTTTTGGATGAGGGTCAAATGGAATAATACACAATTTATTCTTACAGCTGATGCCTTGTGAAGGCTGACCTAGAACAGAGGCTAGACAGAGTTAAAGTAAGGATTTAATAGAAGGCCTTGGGCAGTACAAAAGCCCAACCAGAGCTACCCAAGATGAACCAAAATGGTCACAAAATGGATGACTGGTCATGGGGTCTCTCACTTTTATAAGTTCTGCTCCATTTGCATATTGGAGTTAATTGTCCAATTCCAGCTTTAGCCCATGCAGTCCCATCCTTCTTGTTTTTCTCTCTTCACGTTGTGTGTGCTCTTGGACCTGAGATTTGGATTATTTGTCCTTGGTCCCCAGATGGAGAAGGAATTGTCTCCCTACTCTGTGAAGAGAGCTCACCGTCCCCTAATATGAGGCTCAGAACTACACACTACAGCACTACAGAATCTACAAAAAAAGCTAAAACCTGAGGCATCACAGGTACATTTACTTGTTCACATTCAGTCCCTACATTGTCTCTCAAATTTGTCTATTCATCACTTCCTGTTTGCCTGCTTCAGCTTTGCTCTTTTTCATTCCTTTCTTTCTGGTTTTGACTTCCTCTGTGCATATGTAGATCCCAGCTTCTCCTTTACATGCTTGTCCCATGAGAAAGTATTTCTGCAAGTTGCATTCCTTATTTAACACAATTTTTTTTATTACCACACTGCTAGAAAGGTGAGTCCCAGTGCAATTAGGGATATACATGCCAACACCTGGCTCTCATGAAGACTGCAGAACTGAAGGTTTGCTGCATCTGTGTTTTATTGTATTTTAAGCAGTTTAGTGTCTTGTACAAGTTCCTGTGAAGAGTCAGGGTTTCAGTTCTTGTCTTTGAGTTTCTTGGATGCCTGGAGTTGTTTGCGTGGCTGAATTCTGTAGTTGTAGTTCCTGGGTGAATGAATAACATGCAATTTATAAAAGGTGAAGCAACATGGATAGCAACCAAAAATAACAGCACAGAGCAGTTTTCCTGGCCTCCATCCAGTACAGAGTCAATGGGAATTTCTCCATTGGCTTCAGTGGGACTTTCATCAAGTCTATTGAGAGAATACTGTACAAGATGTCCACTTCAGACAGCAAGGTTAATAATACCTGAAGTTGTACTCATCAGGAAAAAATACTAGGCTGAAACCAAAGGCCAGTGGAAATCAGCTGTCATGGAAGGCTCAAAGGTTGTTCAAGCTGACAAAGTGCCCTGGTGGTTCCACATGAGACACAACCTGTTCAGCTGGGCTGCCTGAACTTCACAGAGCACTTGTGGCATTGCAGTGTATCCTCAGGAGTGGCTGGGTGGGATGAGCTCTCCAAACGTGACTTCCAGTGGAAGGTGCTTTACGTCCAGCAACACTGGAAAGCTGCCCTTGTTTTTCAGTTGCACTGTTCATGGTCATTAATGGAGACAAACAAAAAAATCTGTCCGAGTCGTTAGCAACAATTTTTTCCCAAAGCATTTGCAAGATGCTAAATGTCTTGAGATGTTTGCAGAAGCAAGAGCAAACACTGAAAGCAAAATAATGAAAATTAAACATTTCCATGCTCATTCAATATTAATGATGTCAGGGTTAATCACTGCCATATAAATACCCAAATAAATAAAATAGATTAGGCAAGTATTATCTGAGTGTTTGCCTGGCTCTCTGGCTTTCTTAGGATCTTTAATTATTGACTTTTCAAAACCTGTTTCTAATTCACTTGAAATTCACACTATTAAGGAATGTCTTGAATTTTTAGAATCACTTATCAAGTTTCTTTCTACCAAATGCATATGTAAAACAGATTAATCAGCCTCAGATCTGACATACAAGAAATGTGAAATAAAAATTGAGAAACTGTGATTAGACCAATTAGACCAATGCCTCTAAATTATTCCCCTATCTTAAGAAAAAGTGAGAGTTTAGTGCAGCAACTGTTCCCTAACCTCTTGTTCCAGTTGGAAAACATCATCACTAATGAAGAAAATATTTGTCCTGAAAAAGGGGTTAATTACTTTTTAAAAAGAAAGAAATAGCCAGTGGTAACCATAATTCTCCCTCTTAATATTTAACATAAAGTTTCTATTTATACAAAGCTGAAAGATTAAATGTGGTGTTCTGTCTTCAGAGTGCCTGAAGATGCCTACATAGCATGACATTATATTTATAAAAATCTTATATCTGTAATCAGTTAGATCTGAATATGCCTCACCTCCCAGTTACTTTTATATTTAAACTAATGTTTAAATCACCTTTCTTTTGGCTTAGAACCTGATGATGCTTTTGATGGGTTAGACTGCTGCTATTGGGCAACTTATCAGTGTATGGAAATGTGTGCCAAGAAGTTTAAAATACTGTGTTTGTTGTAAAATGCTGACGTTAGGACCTCAACGTACAAAACATGTTAAGAAGCCTTGAGTGATAAGAGTGTGTGCAGTGTTTGGTGTACACATGTATATAAAGCAGTTTATTGCTATTTTGCAATGGAGAAAACTGAAGTGCAGACAAAATGAAATTAATTTCCCACAGTCAGACAATGAGTCAGTGACAGAACTGATAAAAGAAACCACCAGCCCTGATGAGGCGGAGGGAGCAAAAGCTGTGGCTGGGGACTTTCACAGACACAACACCAAACTCAACACAGATGGAGATGACTTCAATGTGGAGGTGGTCACCCCTTCTCCAGCAAGTTCAGCTGGGACTCATTAGTGGGGCAGAAGCTGCTGCTCAGCCAAATCTGATCCCTGCTCCTGGCCCTGGGCCTGTGGTGCTGGGGCTTGGTGTGCACGGGTTGTTGAGTCACCTCCTGCATCCAGCCTGTCCCTGTGTGTGCCAGGGGTGCTGGGAGAAGGGCAGGGATGCATGAGGAGTGAGTGCCAAGGACAAGCCTGTTGCTGCCTGAAGGAGGTTACTGCCCTACACAACGCACTGAAAACCCCTAAACTGCTCCATAATTTCCTTTGGTATTTCCATTATCCAAAACTGTGATCATGACTCAAGTTTACATTGAACCAGGAAATCTTATTTCAGACTGCAGCACAGATTTACTTGGCTTCTAGATAACACATGGAAACATCAGGTACAATTTTGTAAACAGAGCACTTTGGATTTTTACAACAAGGAGTAATTCACACAGCACATCTTTGTCCTGCAAAGATTTTGCTGTAAATCATTGCACAAGCACTGTGAAAAGGCAGGAATAAAACACCAAGAGGGTGAATAGAAATTGGAATTTTGAAGAATGAACTCAGTAACAATTACTAATACCACTGAATTAATTTATATTAATATTTCATTAAAAGAAATTTTATGCCTTTCTTCTAGCTCCAGGTAACTTTTTTCATGAGGTGCAAAGTATAAATCATAGATCTTAATCAGCAGATGCAAGTATTTCTTGTGGCATAAAATGAAACTGTTCCAATAACATGGCTAGTGGTAACTTACTGAATTTTATTGTTCAGATAAGTGGAGTGTATTTAATATATATATATGTACTATTACATGTATATATATATATATTTTATTTTTTTTTTGGATGAAAAACCAATTTCTTTTGCCACTGGGCAGGACCAGGCTATAACTGTAAAGTCTGTCCCAGTGCAAATGCTCCTCCAGGCACAGGATTGAATCTAGATTCTTTCCCTTCTGCCAGGGAAGAGGTAAAATACTTCATCCTTCTCCATGAAGCAATGCATTCTTCTCTAGGCAGATAGCTTAGCTTGTGAATGGAAATGTTGTTTCCCACATTGCAGAGTGAGTTGCAGCAGGGCACTTG